ATAATTTCAGATATCAAATATGTTTTTAATGTTTTATAATGACTAACATTTTTTTTTATTACAGCGTACAGTAAAAGGAAACGCGATGCAACAATGCACAATCCTAAGCATATGTCCGTTATATTTATTTAATTAAATTTTATTCGATTTATTTTATTTGATTGCCTTGGAAGTGAAGTTACTCCCCTTCACAAGACCACATAGATTAATTATAAGGCGCACCTACCACTATGCATATAGTCAAGGTTTCACAGTACATAGCAGAAAGTTATTAGCCTATCACTAAATAGTTACATATTAGAAAAATTATATGACATATCGACTATAACTAAGGCTTTTTGTATGATACCATAGTAACGAACACAACTGTTATTAGGTCTAATTAATAATTAACTTTATCAAATTACTCAAATAGATAAAAAGGTTTCTTAGCTACGTTCTTATTGTACATAACTGAACACCACCTACTGTAAATTCTCGATTGGAGGTCAAACGTGGCCCCGTTGTTTGATAGTATCTGGGCTTAATTTAACTGAAAAATAGAGGGTTGATTCACATCATGCACAATTAATCTCATTTAATTTGCTAACACCGGCCAATGAAAAGCAGATATCAACAAAGCACGATCTGTCTGACGACATACCTTTCTCACGGTGATTGGACTTGAATGTTAGCTGACAACATGTTAGTGCTAGTCTTTTGTAGATAACATATATCGTTAGCCACATCTAGCCTTACTAATGCATTTGCAGTCAAGGTTCTTTTTGACCACGATGGACGAACATCATTATTACCTTCGCAAAAAAGGTTATGTTTTCAGTAGCGTTTGTCCGTTTGTCCGTCCGTCCGTTTGTCCGTTTGTGAACAGCATAACTCAAGAAGCTTTAAATGCATTGTCATCAAACTTGTTCGTAGGTCTTGATGAGACCTAGAAATGATCAGATTTTGGCCCCCTGGTGGCTTTTGTTGGTACCGCAGCTGAACTTCCGGTTTTGATATCTCGCGATGCTAGGGGCACGAATTGTGGTTGGTAGGTAGCTCTTGGCGTAGGGGAGAAGTAACATGCGTTTGGGCCCCCTAACAGCTTGTTCTGGAACTGCAGGAGCGTTTGTTGATAAATTTTTGAGGAGGATAACTCAAGAACCGGTTGACGGATTGTAGTATTTTTTGGCATGTAGATAGCGAAAGTGATGCTTGACATAACCAGATGGCAATAACGCATAACAGGAGCTAATCTGCATAATTAATGGAGAAATTCTTTAAATCTGCTTTGTTCGATAATAGGACCATGGGACACTTGTGACATGTAATTGAGAACAAGAAAAACATCTTAAGATATAGATTATGTAAATGAAGACCTCATTTTGCAAAATTAAGGAGAAATTGTTATAATTTCATAATCGTAATTGCTGGGAATTTCATACTTTCTGCTTTTGGAAGTTAAGTGTTCTTCAATAAAGAAAATCTATTCAAGTTATGACAAATTTGCATAATTTATGAGGAAGTGCTAGAATAGCCTTTTTTAATAAGATAAGGCTGTCGTTGGGTGGAGAATATGCTCAACTAATGTAATCCATGCAAATGGGGCTCTTATTTGCGAAATCCATTATTAAAATTGTATAATTCGTAAACCGGACGGGTTAACATCATTTCGCGAAGGTATGAGATCGTGGAACTCTTGTTTTTTTTCTATATCATCATCCTTGATTACGCAAAGGTGAGCCATGAATTATTTAGACTAAATGACGTAAATATATTTACGGAGTAAGGTAGAAACAAAACTTGAAATAATAGTTTTTTTTAATTTCATGTGTATTCAATATTAGTGAAATAATTTCTTCAATTATAACAACATCC